AACTGCCCTCTTTTGCACGCCTAGTGCCTTCCAAATGCACTTCCCTACTGGCCATCTTGTGATGGCCATGTTGTGTCCACTTGGGGGCAGGATCTTTGACCACATGGAGGCAGCCATCTTGTGTGTTGGAATGATGGTCAATCTGCATATTACTCGCTTATTAGATAGGATAGAGGCCTGGTGCACGGGTGGGGTCCAACTGGTTTGACATGAAGAGTGACCCAGATCAGGGTGGGGTTCCTTTGGGGCATGGGGTGGCCTGAGTGAGATGCCTGTAGTGGTTTGCAGGCCAGCCACGCCCCCTGGCGACCCAAGTGGAGGCCCTGGTATCTGGAATTTATTTACCTTCTATAATTGAAACTTTGTAGCCTGGAGCAGAGCCAATCCTCCTGCTTGCTCCGTGGCAGTAGCCATTTCTGTTTGAATTTGTTTACCTTCTATAATTGAAACTTTGTATCCTTGAGTGGAGGACTGGGCCTGCAAGGGCAGGCGGAAAGCTTGGCTTTCTCCATTGCCAGGGAAACGCCTCCCTCCTGTTCTAGGTGGCTATAACCATCTTGGTTGGTTTATTTGCATATTTGCTCTGATTGGCTGGTGGGTGTGGCTGGTGGGCATGGCTTGTGAGGGTAGCGGAAAGATGGTTAATTTGCATATTACTCTTTTATTAAGTAGGGTAATTCCACAGTATACTTTGAATTGTAGAGAAAATGCTGGAATGACATGCCTATTCTCTTACTGCCATGGCCCCAAGGGCACAGAAGTGGCTGCCCCTTAACCAGCCTCAGTTTAGTTTAGGCCAGCCTGGGCAGGATTGTGGTGTCACAGGCAGGAGTGGATCACTTGGTCCCCATTAATACCTATGCTTCCTACCAGATGTTTAATGGACATGATGCTGGGTGGGACTTTGCCAATTTCCCCTGCCCTGCCCCTTTTCTAAGCACCTGCACAGGTTCCGCCAGTGCTGCCTCTTATTCTGCCACTTTTAGAACCAAAAGCCGCTTGTCTGAGTAAAACTGCTTTTTTTTTTCCTTCCTTCTCCTGCTTCACCACAAGTGAGGAATACAGTGGTTTATCAACCACCGGTAGGCCACAACTTTAGCTAGTGGTCTTTGTTTAAACTTCCATGGGTTATAATATATGTAACCTCCACAAATTTTACACTTTCAAATTAGCCTTAGAATCTTAAAATCTTAACCCAGTAAAATAACCTTTGGTTCTGAGTGACACAAAGCCTACAAAGAGCAAAAACAGGGTTCTTTCTATGTTCATAAAAACAGCGAAGAACAAACTAAGCTAGCAAAGCAATCAGTAGTAACCAAGGTACCTTGCAGTCAAAGAAACTCTAAAGAGCATCAGCCTGTTCCACCTGTCCATAAGCAGCTGGGCCCTGAGCAAGGTGGGATGTGCCCTATCTTTAAACAGATTGATTGAAATATCAACAGAAAACATTAATAGAAACATTCTTATACACAATATTTACAAGTGCGCACAATCCACAGACACTCCACAAAGCACTCCATTAAAAAAGCAGTGTCTCTTGTCCCTGGTTAGGGGAACTGACCCTCCCTAGAACCTCAGTATTTTTCTAATGGACTATTTGGCCATGTGGCTTGCCTGGTTGCCTCGTATATATTCCCCTTGTGTCATTTTCACCATTTTCTAAAGAAAAATCATATCAGGCCAATTCTATACCATCTGCAAAAAGATGGGACTCGGGCCAAGAGGCCACCCAAAATCAGTTGGGGCACCACCCCTTGAACTAGCCTTTCCCTCTACACAGGTATAGAAAGTCCCAGAAACATCCCTAATTTGTGAGAAATGGCTCACCTACCCAAATTTCAAATGATGGACTGGGAAATAAAAACAGTGAAAATGAGACTTTTAAGAACACTCCTGAGAGTGTACAACCATTTTACAGAATCACAAAAAGACAAGAAACGAGATACCTAGTAATTAATAGGCTAACGTAACAGCTGTGTCTGGTTGTAATGGTGAGTTCTCTGAAAGGCTAAAACTTTTACAGGAATGGATGGCAGAACCAACTAAGGGCTGTGATTAATTCCTGTTATGCCTGATGGGAAGATCTAGTCATGCTCGTATGCCAGGAATGGAAAACAGTTAACTGGCGCCCCACCCCCACCCCCTTCTTAACTTTGCCTAGTTTTCCCCCAGTATCCTTACTATAAAAGCCTGCACAAATGGAGACTGAGGAGTTAAGCTTAGTGGGATCTGGATTGCAAAGGCAATGGTTTGGCTCGATACTATTTTACCTGACTGAGGTAGAAACAGAAGAGAAAGGCAGAAGAAAGGAGCAGTGAAGGGAAGAGGGAAATGCTCACTTTTTAGATGACAGCCAAATTTTAGTGCTGGCAGGCATCTGTTAGCCTCCAAAATCATACAAGAGATAGAAAAGGGACAGAGGGACAGACTCTGTGGCTACTCACCATTCGACGTGAAGAGGGTTGACTGACTTATGAAAAAATTCTCTGCCAACGCACTATTTGAAACAGAATATTTGGACTGAAACCCGAACTCTTTCCCCCTCCCCATTTGAGTCCATTCTGTGGGACTCTCCCCACAAGGAAGTCTGTACTTGTTTTTCAATAAATCCCCTCCACCTGCCGAAACCGGTTTGGCTCAGTGGTAGAGCATTGGTCTGCGGACTGAAAGGTCCCAGGTTCTATTCCGGTCAGGGGCATGTACATTGGTTGCGGGCACATCCCCAGTAGGGAGTGTGCAAAAGGCAGCTAGTCGCTCATCAATGTTTCTGGCTCTCTATCTCTCTCCCTTCCTCTCTGTAAAAAAATCAATAAAATATATTTTAAAAAATAAATAAATCTCTTCCATCTTTGCTATAACTGCCCTCTGTCCATGGATTCATTCTTTGAATCCGGTGGGCAAAGAATCTGGGTTCCAATGCAAAAATTCAGTTTCAGTGGGGACCAAACCTGCAGAGCAAGTATGTGTCCTTGATCAGGAATCAAACCAATGACCCTTTAGTACACGGGCCAACTCTCTAACCACTGATTGACACTGGCAAGGTCCCCTTTTCTTTAGATGCCTTTTCCTCATTTTTTTTTATTCAATAAACAGTTACACATGTTAATCAATGGTCATTGGCACTAATTCAGCTCCAACAGGAATCCCCAATTCAGGGTCTGGTGAAAAAGGAAACTTTTCCATGTAGCACAGCTAAAGTGTGATGTAGCATAGCTGTGAAAATAGCACAACTGTGAGGCTTAGGGCCTGGCAGGCCAGGGGCCAGCCCCTCTTCTGCTAGATAGCAGTCAGCTCCAGACTAGGGAGAGGAAGATGCAATCTTGAGTTTCAGTGGAAAGGGAAAGATTCCTCTCAGAAACAGAGAGGAGCTGGCTATGTGGTCAAAAGTCTTCACCTCTGGTCCTTAATTAACCTGTTAACGGAGCGGGACCTATAAATACATCAAACATAAACACTAGCGGGAACAGGTAGGACATATGAATACGTCCTTGAAATATATGTTGCACCCATGAGAGGGACGGTAAATATTTTTTGTAATCTTTATAATTGTTTGTAAAATTTATAATTTTTTAATTCGATGTTTCCTTTTTTTTGTTGGTATTCTTTTCTATTTGTAATTTTGTATTTTCCTTTGTGCTTTATATATAAATAATATATATATATTTCATTTATTTTAATTAAGTGTAAATAAAAATAATAATAATATAAAATTATGTCCGCTGGGCGTGACATACTGACACGTCCTAGTGAAAGAGTATGCGCCTGTTGTACGTTGCGTAATTAAAAAGGGAACTCCCCGGTTAACAGGTTAATCTGTTGTTATGCAAATTAGGGCTTCAAATCCTCACAGTTTGGTCCAAAAGGAACAGTCTTGATGGGTTGGAGCTGCCACAACTCCAATTAAATGGGGAAAGCCTCAGTCCTATTGGTTGAAATACCGTGTTTCCCCGAAAATAAGACATCCTCCGAAAATAAGACCTTACTGGCAGGTTTCCTTCTGAGTGAAATATAAGGCATCTCCCCGAAAATAAGGCCCCCCCTAGGCTAAACATGAGAGATTTGGTCCACTGATTCTGAAAGAAATGGAGTCACAAGAAATTCACAAGGAAATTCAGGAATTGGATTGTTATGATGATGTTCCAGAAGATGATGACATGATTGTCATTGAATAAATGAGTAAATTCTTGATACTGTAGGATTCACAGTTTGTCTGGTTTGTGTTGACAACTACCGTACTACCATACTACCGTACCGTATACAAGTAATAAATTTCCTTTATTTTCATTTAACAATAAATGTGTACCGTATTCTTGGAGAAATAAGACATCCCCTGAAAATAAGACCTAGCACTCTCTTTGGGAGCAAAAATTAATATAAGACACTGTCTTATTTTCAGGGAAACAGGGTAGGATTCCAGGAACTCCCTTATAAGGGCTTGCTCAGATAACTGGAACACAGTGCAGGGCAGGCAGTTCAGAGCAGGCTTCTTCCTGAAGTGCGGTTTGCAGTAAGAGAGCCCTGTGTAGAAATGCCTTCTAAGCACTTTTAAAAATATATATATTTTATTGATTTTTTTACAGAGAAGAAGGGAGAGGGATAGAGTGAGAAACATCGGTGAGAAACATCAATCAGCTGCCTCTTGCACACCTCCTACTGGGGATGTGCTCACAACCAAGGTACATGCCCTTGATAGGTATCGAACCTGGGACCCTTCAGTTCACAGGCTGATGCTCCATTCAACTAAGCCAAACCAGTTAGAGCTAAGCACTTTTGTTTTTTAAGTTTGAGCCACCAGGAACCCTTCTTAGTTGGCATCTTCTTTCTCAGTGTTCACACACAGAAAGAACCACCCCTCAATACTAATACTTTACCCCACTTACCTGCCAAACTGGCCTCTTCCCTCCATCCATTGACATTGCCAGTGGCAACAGAAACAGGAAAGAAAACCCTGTGCTCCTCCACTCCTCTCCCCACAACTGCGGGCTGCCTGACTGCCTGAGGCGGGCAGGAAGCCTGTGGTTTGTGCACGAGGCCTCCCTCCCCAACCCTCCCTCCCTGAGCTGTTTCACTTCCTCCCGACCTCCCCTCAAGCAGGAGTATCTCCCTGCTCCCCAGCCTTCACCATGGCCGATACATATGCGGTGGTGCAAAAGCGCAAGGCTACTTCAGGCCCCAGGTCAGAGTCTGGGGCATGCAGCACAGAGGGGGCATCTCTCTACAGCCATGTGACTCCGGGCGCCCGCTGGCCTCAGGCACTCACAGAGGAGGGGGCACAGCTGGGCGGTGGTGAGTTGACAGGTCAAGGGAAGGGTTGGGGAGGGCCGCACCCATCTCCTTCTGGGGACCCCCCACTGCTGGGCCCTCTGTCCCAGGCAGATCTGGCTATCATCTGATGGCTGTTCACTTGCTGGTCACCGACCGGAAGTGTCCCAGGCCAAACCGCTGGGCCCCCACTGGGTGCGCTTTTCCGGAAGTCACCTTATCTGGGCAAAGGTCTAGGACCTGCCCCCTCCTTCCCTCTCCCTCAATCCCACCCCCACCCTCTGCGGAAGCCCATGAATGAAGACTGGTTTCCTGCCTGCAGTTCCTGCTGACCCCAGTCCTACTGGGCCTGGCACATATGAGGACGTGGCTGGTGGATCTCAGACCAGTGGTCTAGGTAAGTCAGACAAAGCCCAGGTTTCTGGGACCCTACAGCTTTTACTGAATTCCAGAAGTTTGGGTGTTTTAAGGATGGTGGCATGGGGCCCTGGGCCTCAGAGTTCTGTGGATGTTGCTGCAGTGAACCAGGAGAGCCTGAAGGCCTGAGGATCACTTTGCCTAATTTGCTTACCTCTCCACATCTTAGCTTCTCCCTGAGACCCATGGTGTCCTTCCTTTCCCAGGTTTCAACCTTCGCATTGGAAGGCCTAAAGGGCCCCGGGACCCCCCTGCAGAGTGGAGCCGGGTGTGAATGCTGAGCCCAGCCTGCCTTTGACCCCACATGGGTGCCTAGACTGTTGAAGGTTGTGCTCTTTTAGGAATGGAAACACTGGGCCTGGATCAAAATAAAATTTCACAGAGTGGGAAATGTAGGGGTTTTGTCTCAGTAACTATAGCTTGAGGTGGTAGCTGAGAGATAATGATTGGTGAGACTGCACTTGGTAGTTCAAGAATGAATATCAGGGATGGGTACAACCCCAAGGACCCCCCAATTGTGAAGGGGAGGATGAACAGATAGGATTCTGGAGACTGCCCCCATCACCACATAATAGACCAGTTCAGACAGATCCAAGCTAGGCATGACAACAGTCAAGTAGGCTTATTTTATTTTTTTAAGATATATTTTTATTGGCTTCAGAGAAGAAAGGAGAGAGATAGATAGAAACATCAATGATAAGAATCATTGATCGGCTACCTCCTGCAGGCCCCCTACTGGGGATCTAGCCCGCAACCCGGGCATGTGCCCTTAACCAGAATCAAACCCAGGACCCTTCAGTCCACAGACCGATACTCAATCCACTGAACCAAACCAGCTACGGCAAGTAGGATGGTTTTAGACAAGTGAAAAGATCTTCAGATAAGTAAAGAGAGAGATAGACCCCCATACTAGTAGACTTTCAGAGGGACAGTTCACACAGCTGGATGGATAGATATCCACCAGAGATAGACCTGGAAGGCCATCCCCAGCAAGAAACCACTAAAAAATAGATCCCTTCCTTGGTCCTGGGTAGGCAGTCAGACAGATACCAGCCAGATAAATTCCTAGCTGGACAGAGTCCCAGATAATATAAATAGACCCCCAGCTGAGCAGACACATAAGCATCCTTTTAGCTAGATGGGCAGACAGACTCACAGCTAGCTATATGGATTCCCAGCCAAACAAACAACAGTCACATAGACAGACCCTTCATTATACAGATGCCCCAATCAGCCAACTAGATTCACAACCAGGCAGACAGGTGAACTTCCAGACAGGTGGACAAACCCCACTAAGTCACCAACTACCCAACCTACATTTTGGCAGACAAATTGTTATACCTCCTGATGGGAAGACAACCAGTTGGACTCCCAGACAGTCAACATAAGCCAGACAGAATCCCAACTACCTCCTAGCTAGGCATACATTGTAGCTCAACAGATCCTTCAAGCACACTTTCTACTAGCCAGAGGGACCTCCAGTCCCTCAGGAAAATAGGATCCCAATGACCCTTAATTAGACAGATGGACTCAGTTCTACAGTGAGACTCTCCTCAGGCATAGAGATAAATGGACATCAAACCAATTGGTTAGTTAAATTCCAAGCTATTAATAGATAGTCATCTCAAACCAGATGAATGGGTGGACCCTCATATGGACAGATGACTGATCTCCAGTAAGTCAGACCCATTTAGACAGACCCCAGTCAGACAGAAAGACCCTCCCCAACCAGACTGTTCCCTTGCTGTTTACACAGACCCTTTGCCAGATAGATCCCCAACCCTTGAGTAGATGGACATATTGTCACCTTGGCAAACAAATCTATATCCAGCAAAACAGACCTCTAGCCTTATAAACAGATAAACTGACCCAGACAAACATATCAGCTCCTAGCCAGACAGACTCATGGACCTCCAAGTAAATTAACTAAGGTGGGAAAAATGAGCTCCAGACAGAATGACTCCCAGCTTCATAAGACCCTCAGACAAACCCCTGTGTATGCAGAACCCTGACCAGAAAGACAATAGACAGACACCCCTCCAGCCCACCCCACTCCTCCATCTAGACAGTTAGACATGCAGGAAGCCAGACAAATCTCTATCTGTACACATAGACAGATGAGTCACCCAGCTAGGAAACAATTTCCCATCCAGATCTTCAAGCTGGTGAGAACTGCAAGTGAATAGAAAGACAAGAGTAAATATACTTAATGCTCCAAAATCCTGCTTTTGCTCTCTGAGATGTCCTTCCCATGTGATCTTCCCAATACTATCTATCTGACAATGCCATGTTCACCCAGGCAGATACCCAGCTATCTCTCCCCAACATAGTACCCTGCCAGACTATTAGAAAGTTTTCCTGTGTCTGTGATGAGTATGGACCATTAAAGCCTTTACCTGCCACTTTCTCAACAGGCTCACATAGCTAACACTGAGTGTTTGGTATGTACGTGGACTGAGTAATCTTCAGAACAACTTCACAATAAAGATAACGAGAAAAATTCTGAGGTATGCTAAGTTAAATTACTGCAGGCAAGAGAGAGAGAAAAGACAAGAATATTTAACCAGCTATGGGCTAACTAACAATAGAGTGCTCACATTCCTGAATGTACCTTGGAACTTTGAATCAATTTCAGGGGGTTTTCTGAAAAGAAATAATGGGCCACTAGACACTGAAACATACTGTTTATGCATGAACTTGCAGAACTTGTCCAGCACCAATAAAAAGCAGTAAATATTTCTTAAGGATTGTACACCTATTCCAGAACTGCCCCCCTTCACCTTTTCCCAGCTCCTTATCTTTAGCCAATGCAAATTCTTTCAAAACAAGTTACACCTTTCTTTTCTGAAATATATATATACGTAGCCAGCAACTGTAATGCCATAATGACTGGAACTACCAGTCGGTATAATGCCCACTACAGCCAGCAAACCCACACAATTTGGGGGAAGAGCCTGTGGCCTGTCCCCTTGGTCAGCCCCATTCCTGATTGGTCTCTCCCACCCCAATTGAGGCCGGGGCAGCTGGCCAAGCCCCCCATGGTCCTTCCCTCCTGGCCACCCAGCTGCCCCACCCCTGATCGCCCCCATTTCAATAGGGGTCAGGTCTGCCTGACCAACTTCTTGCAGCCCCTCCACCTGTCTGGCCTCACCCCAGATTGGCCCCCTGACCCCAAAAAGGGGCAGGGCCACTGGCCCACCACCCACACCCCTCCCCATGGCTGGCCCCACTCCCAATCGGCCACCCACCCCAATTGGGGGCAGGCTCTGCCAGCCAATCATTCTCAGCCCCTCCCCCCAGCCGGCCCAGCCTGATCCACCCAAATTTGTGCACTGGGCCTCTAGTAATATGTAAAAGAGTCCGCCAACTCCAGGACAGAAGACATATTGACTTCCCCATCTAGCTGTGCTGCTGATGGTTTAGGCTGCCAGATCTTGCCCTTTTTGGGCTAGCATTTGGCTCAATAAGCCCTTTCAGAAAAGACTTCAGCCATAAAAGTTTTCTTTAAAGGAGGTAACTTTGTTTACTTAGCCCAGGAAATTACTCTGACATTCCAAAAGTCTGATATCCTAGATGCAAAAAGACAATATACAGACTCAGTTAAGGTAAATGTTGATCTTTGTCAAGGGTGATATTGGCCTAGGACATGACTATTCCCCATGACTCACTTTTAGTTAGGAAGTTATAATTTCAGACCATCCTATATGGTTAGGAAATGTCAGGGGATTTGAGAGCTGGGAGCCAAGAACTATAGAAAAAGAATAAAATACATATTATATATCACAACATATCACTTACCTAGCAATGTAAAAGAACTATTTGACTTCAACCTAATTTTATAAATTTCTCCACTTTACTTTCTCCCATCTCCCTTATTTACTACCAGTGAATTTCATGTAACCTCCTTATGCCTCCAATCTTTTATTGTAAAGCATAAAATAAACTGCAAAACTGCCATTCTTTGGAGCATTTTATAAATTTTTTATGGGTTTGGGAGTTTATATCAATAATTTCCCAAACCTATAGCAGTGTCTGACACTTAATAGATGTTCAAGTTAGTTTATCTCACACTATTTATTCATAGGCTTCCTAATTTCAGTAAAATATGATAACTTGTCTTACATATTTCCTTAACCTTTCCATACTAATTATTTGCTCATGTTAATCATTGCCTTAGAATAACACACCAAATTTCTTCTTAAGATATTTAATGTTGGGAGAGCAGTCCTCTGTGAGTCTCTTTGGTCCCTGAGGAGTTGAAAGCAAGTAGGCAGTTAGGGACAGACTACTGGAGAGAAATGTAAAGGGGAGGTACAGCTGAACCCTGTAGGTGTGAGCAGAAACCAGTTTGTCAGTCACACCCTGTAAAAATGGTGTAAAAATCATAAGAACAAAGGGCACCTGAACAGAATTTTTGGATATCATTCTGAAAGGAGTTTTGGGGGATAAAATAGGCAGATTTAGGACATTTTAGGAATTAAAAGGTCCTTGGGAAAACCACAGGGCTGCAAAGCTGGGAGCTGCTAGAGGTATGCATTTCCATAGGATAGGGAGTTGAGAGCTGCAGAAAGTGTACATTTACAGAATAAAGGGAAGGGAAGATAAAGACTATAGGGAATAGAAAAACAATAAGGGAGAAGGGGAAGGGAACCTCATGTTGGGTTTGAGCTCTGAAGCTGCTATAGTGTTTAATCAGAGGAGATATAAAGAAATAAAGAACTGCAGTATTTATAAACTTTAGAAAAATGAACTAGATGGGGACCCCCCCCCCCAACATGGGAGTTTGTGCTTGTTTCTCAATAAATTTCCAACTTTTCCTATACCACCTTTTGTCTGTGGTTTCATTCATTAACTCTACCTGGACAAGAACCCAGGAATCGTGCTGCCCAGAAGAATAACACAGGTTCCAGTTCACTTTGTGAGTTTCAATTCCTACACATCTCTGCTAGGTGTAGTTAATAGAATAGGCAGCTAGACAGGCATGAGAAAACCAGGTACAGAATGTCACCAGGGTAGAATGTCCTGGTTGCCTAGCAATAGGAAAATTTTAGGAAAAAAGTTATAAAGACTAAGACCTTACTTCCAGGGTGACCTTTCTCCCCTAGCATGTCTCTAGTCATGAAGTTTAGACAACTCTTAGATGAGGAACAAAGGGGCTAGAAAACAGCCTCATATGACTCCCATACAAGCCCTTGCTTAACCACTTCCTTAACTTTTATTAAGTTACCAGAATAATGAGGTTCTGATCTATCTACATTAATAAAAGAAACATTCAAATTGACCATACCTCTGTTATGCCCACAAGCCACACCCACCAGCCAACCAGGAGCAAGTATGCAAATTAAACCAACAAAGATGGCTGCAGCCATGGAGCCAGCAGGAGGCTTGGGTTTCC